CCGTTGGCCGATTTTATTGAAATCTCGCCGTGTTGTGAACTTAGTTAGAACTGATAAGTTAGCACTAATTAAATGATAATAATTATTATTTACAATAATATTCAAACGGTAAAAACTTATCAACTTATCCCAATAAATATTTGACAACGCCTTGGATTCATTTGTTTTAACGCCTGTTGGCGGTGGAAACCATGCAAGCTTTTTCTTTGTCCTAAGTTGTTAATTAAACAAATAATAATCATATAAAAAAATATGGCAATTAGTCTAAATTTATTATTTATGTGATTCTGCTCTGTCTCGTATAATTTGCCCCTTACGGAAATAGTTAGATTAAAATAGCCAAACTGTACCTAACAACCCATGCCTTGACATATTTTCTTTTAAAATAATATCGCTTTCTTTATCCGCCGGTCCAGATTTGAACGGCCTTGCCCTGTTCGCAGGCATCAATGCAGGCTCTATCGACATAAGTACGTGTTGACAGGCAGGTTATCGAACCCATGTTGCGTCTAGCATGTCGTTTTTTCAAAAATGGGTCCCATATAAACGCGGCCAGAAGTATTTTCAATACTAAAATATTGTAATATTTGAGGGGTGGTTTCAACCTCTTGGAACTGGAATTTCGAAAAATCCCTTCTTAATGAACCTCTACACCCTAGTATCAATCTGTATCTGTATTATCAACCTGAATGCCACAATTGAGCTTCTCACGTTGTGTGGTTTGAGCAGGATCGTGATTAATCAGTATGTCAGTCACTTAAGGATTTTATATATTAGTATAGATATCTATTGCACCTTAATATCATTATATTTTATTGTATTTTTATATTCAATTTGATCATTATATTTTCTATACGTAGTATATCTTACCTCGTTGGCGTTACGAGCCGTGACATTTGGAGTTTAATACGCGCAAAACATAGCGGGAACGAAGGACAAAATGAAATTTCGACCGCCAGTAGAGAAAATGGATAAAATCAAAGGTTTTCAAGCGAAAATTGGACAAATTGAAGATTTTTGGGAATAGTTTTGAATATCTTAGGATGGGAAAAAAGTGATTTACAAAAAGTATAATTTAAATAGGTTTTTTTCTAATTTTTTTCTGATTTTTTTGGGGGGCATTGACCATTTGACCTTATGGTTAAGCCGCCACTGCAAATATCTAGGTTTCCACTGAAATCATCGTTAGTCGACAGGCTGAGTAAGAATAAACTGTGTTGCTAACAAGACATATTTTATACCATAAATGTTTGAAAGTTTTCCAACTAAAAAATCAGTTTGTTTAAGAATAATTAACAATACATTTCAGTATAAATCGTGTAACAGTTAAACACAAGCTAAACTCGGATTCAGCTCGTAAAATCGGCCACCGGCACCTCACTCATCTCCAAAACAACACTTTGTTCATATTTTACGGCATTAACTGGCAGTCCAAAAGGTGTTATAAACAGTTTTTATGATGGCAAAAGAGCTGGGAAGCGCTCGCCGCCGTACAGCCAAGAAGACTTTTTGCATATTTAGATATTCGTACGCAAACTATAAAAGTCCGTTAAACGCCTCGCAAGAAGAATATTAAAGATGGGGTTTTAAATAGCCTCCGTTTTCAATCAGCGGCTAAAAACAGCCACCCATTAAATATTAATCTGCGGCCGTATACATAGTTAGTTTTATGGGTTTTAATTTGCATGGAAATTTTTCCGAAACAATCAATTAAATGCGAGACGTTAAATTTTTAACGTTTGCCTGCAAAGCAACGCGATGGCGAGGAGTGTCTTTCGACAGATATCTTATGGCCTGTTAAAAATTACAAGGGGATAGTTATAATATTTGCGGCTAAACATTCTCTATCGAAACTTATTTTTATTCTAATTAGAATTGGTAATAGAGTTGGGAATTATTATCGGATCATTTCAGTATCAGATATAGATGCAGATTAGATGTAGATCAGATGTAGATTGTATGAGGAAGTTAATCACCGCGACCTTATAGATCTATTGTGTCCCTCTTTATTGAGCTATAATTCATCATATAGTTTCAGGGTTTTGACAAAAGCCACTATCTGGGACTGTTTTACAGAGTGTAGTTCTTCATCTCCAATGTCAGTCGTATCAAAGGTACGTATCGTCGTGAGGAGGTGTTCTGGTGTTTTCCCATTTCCCCACAGAATCTGCATTCACCGTTTTTTCTTAGCTTCAATCTACTGAAATGTTCATTGGAGGGAAATGTTCATTGGGGAGACAGTGTCCTGTTGAAAACCCGTAATAATCCGAAGATTGTTCTTACTTAAATCAAGGAAATCATAGATTTTTCTTGGTCGTAAGTCCTCAGAGACTTCTTCGAGTGTCTTAGACCGTTGCAGGATTTCTACTCCAGGTTACCGATGGAGTCTTTCAGGTTCTTTGCTTGAGTTCTGCTTTAAATTCGTTTCCCCTTCAAAAGTAGAACGGTTCTGTTCCAGTAAGTGGAATGTTCGCTCCTTTTCTAGCTTGATCGTTTGCTTTTTCATTACCTTCTATCCCTTAGTGAGTTGGCACCCAGAGTAGGAGATCTTTATTTTCTTTGCCTAATTAGTTTATCTTCTCTAAACATTCTTTGACCAACTTCGAATTGTTGCTTACTGAGCTGATTGCTCTCAAGGCTGCTTGACTATTGGATGAACTGGCTATTCCTTCTATAGATTTCTACTTGAAGGATTCTGGGGTAGGTGCCTATTGGTTCGATGTATTTAATATTTGGCCTAAATACTCCTATCCTTGTGCCTGCTTTGGTTTTGGAAGCATCAGTATAGCACATTATAGTGTGGTCTTTTAACTACTGAGCAAACGTTTCTAATTCTTTTTGTTGCTCAATACTACAAAGATGTTTCTCAAAGTAAGTTGTACATTTTTGGTATGTCATCCACTGGGAGTTGGTTGCCCTTTAAAACGTTCAATTTTTGTTTCTAACTCTGATTTATAGATGGTAACATTTGAGGCCAAATGAACAAGTAATACAAATAATAAGTGTTGTGGTCTGTTTAAAAATGCAGGTCTACCATAAATCTCATACTGGTGGTTATTACTCAGAAAACTGATTATTGTTATGCGCGCAACTGTTGTTTAATGAAAGGTTATCCTCTATCGTCCTGTATTCTTGTAATCACAGTATGTTAGATACCGGTGTGAGGTCGTGCAGAGTAATCCTCGAGAATCGACAAAAATTCTCGATGCCTACCGAGGATTTCAGTACTCGAGTGATCGAGTATTTTTTACTCGAGCCATCCCATCACTAATTGGTAATATTATTAGTAACATTAAAACACTTTTTTCTTTCATGCTCTTTCATCACGTGATCCAGTATGTTACACTGACCGGCATGAAAAACGGGCATCTTCAAATTTTTATATATTTTAAAGTTCAATATAGGTATTTTGGTCTAGGAAGTCAATTTTGATTATTTTTTACCAATTTGTAGCTAAGTTATATGACTTTCTTTCCTCTTTTTAAATTAAAAATTAAAGTTCTCATCTCTCTATTATACAAGCTCAAAGTTCCTTTGACATGGAGTTTATGCTCAGGATACTATATACTGAGTATCAGGAATGGGGTCTGGAAGTCAGTTTAGAAAAAAACAGAATACTTGGTATTAAATTCCAACGCCAAATTTGATATTCTAATTGACGACAAGGCAGAAATACAACAGACACATTCAAACATGTAGGAGCTATAGTTGATAAAAATGGAATCGGTGGGACAGAGAATTCAGAACGCGAGGAGAGTGGTAGGGGCACTCAACTCAATCTGGTGGGACAAATATATTATAAAGAATATATATTGTATATAATATATACATGTATGTATAATAATATATACATATTGGCCAAACAATGGTAGAATCGGTCTTATGCTATGGGAGTGAGATATGGGCCCTAAGAGAAGAAGATAAACGGAGAGTATTGGCTGTAGAGATGGATTACTTACGTAGAAGCGCTAGAGTGTCCAGATTACAAAGAGTGAGAAACGAGGAAATCAGAAACAGAACATCGGCACAAGAAACATTAATTCAACGAATAGAAAAAAGAGGTTTGAGATGGTTTCGTCATCTAATGAGGATGGAGGACACAAGATGGCCAAAACGTGTATTCAAATGGTCACCCACTGGCAGACACAAAAGGGGACGCCCGCGTCGGTCCTGGAACGATGGTATACGACAGGCGATGAGAGATCGGAATATCGAAGAAGATCTCGTGTATGACAGAGATGGCTGGCGATTGAGACTGGGAAGGCAACATTTTGTTGTATAATCTGTATAGTACAGTAACTGTATTTTTATAAGATTAATCCCAAATATATATATCTCTCTATGTATATGAGCAAAAACAAAATTTATTTGAAGGGTCTAGGGGAAAAACATGATAAGCCCCATTTTACTAATTTTAAAGGAGAGGACTAGACTGCTGAAGGTTCTCAGGTTCTTTGCGTGTATTCTAGATTCTTTTTACTTGGCATATATCATAGGATTTAACAACTCATTGCCCTGCAGAGTTTATACATTTTTCAGCGATCAGTCGGACCTACTACAATATTTTAAAAACCTAAAATTAAGAAATTGGCGCTTGTCAAGCTTTTCTCCTGGACCCTTCATTTATTTTTGGAGAAACTTTGAAACACACCCTTTCGAATGGTTTAACAAAGCAAAGAATTTAAAATCCAGTTTATCAGCAAGGTGCATCTTTTTCGCTGGTTTTGTTTTTTCTGCTTCGTCTCAAAATGAATTACACTGTAGGTCGCCAGATGAGATAAATATATATATATACTCCAGGGTTGTCGCAAATAACGTCGCATCCCCACGCCTAACCGCCACCTGTTACGATCAAGAACATCTTCCACTTCCAAGTTACGGTCCTCCATTGCCCTTCTGATGGCCTCATTCCAGGATCTTCTAGGCCGTCCTCTTTTCCTTTTTCCAGGAGGTGACCAGCTGTAGATACGGTAGGGCCATCTTTGGTGTTCCATGCGTAGTTAGTGTCCAAACCACTTAAGGCCCCTCTGTTCGACTCTATCCACTATTGTCTGTGTGGCATCCATTTTGGCATCCATTTTGATTTCCACGTTCCTAACTCTGTCCAGTTTAGATACTCTCGCACTGCGTCTCAAATAGTCCATTTCGAGTGCATTCAAAGCTCGCTTTTGTTCAGCTTTTAAGGTCCAAACTTCACACCCATAAGTTACTACGGACTCCACTAGGGCTCTTCCAATATGTACTTTTGTGTTTGGTCTTATGTTTTTGTCCCACCAGATGCCGTTCAGTGCTCCTATGATCTTCCGCCCTTGTTCTATTCTAGCAGATACTTCTGTTTTGTCCAGTCCCTTTCTGCTGGATATACGTGCCCCCAAATATTTAAACCATTCAACCTGTCTGAGCTTTGCATTGTCAGTAATAAAAATGTCAAATTTATCATTTGAATTGGTCAATAGGTATTCCGTTTTATCAATGTTCACAGTAAGGCCCCATTCCGTGTATGCCGAATTTAACCTGCTCATCATGAATTCAAGGTTGTAAGCATCTTGAGCTATGACCACCTGATCATCGGCAAAATTCAATGTAACCAAACAGTCATCTCCTACAGGGACGCCCATTCCCCCACACCTGTTCTTCCAGTCCCTAAGAACCACTTCCAAATACAGATTAAATAAAAGAGGCGACAGAGGACATCCCTGTCGAAGGCCTTTAGTTGTAAACATTATCTCAGACAGTTTGTTACAGCTGTGTTGTTGTTGTACAGCACCTTAATTAAATTTATGAGACATTCATCCACATCAAGTTGTTCCAGTATGTACTATAGTTTAACTCTGGGGATGGAACTTCCATTCATTAGGTATTTTATTCCGATCTACACACATCTGCATTAAGTTTGTTATTTCTGTTATAAGACATTCTCCGCCATATTTTAGCATTTCAGCCATAATACCACCCGGTCCTGGAACTCTACCGTTTTTCATAGACACCAAGGCTTGTTTAACTTCCTCAATCGATATGTTTGTTCTAGGTTCTGTAATAGTGACGGCTTCATTGTTTTGCAAAAACTGTGGACGTTGTTCTATTAATAGGTTTTCATAATGTTTCCGCCAATCACTTAAAGATATAGTTCCCGTTCATCGTTCACGCGTATTTGTTTTCATCCCCTTCAGAGTTCTCCATGCTTCCGTAGATCGTGATCCCCCAATGTAAGTTTCAATATCATTGCATTTTCTTTCCCACATACTATTCTTTTCCTCAGTTACTTGTTGTCGAACTTCCTTTTGTAACTTCTTATATGCTAGCCAATTTTCATCTGTTGGATTTCCTAACCAGTTATTATAATACAGCTTCTTTTCACTTATCTTTTCTTCAAGCTTATCCGTCATCTATATAGGTTGGTTATTGATTTGTTCCTTATATCCTACAGCTTCCTGCATTCCTTGATGTACGGCTTGTGTAATTCGGGTATGCTCTTCTTCAATAGTATGCTTGGGTTGTTCTTTCTGCAATGATGTTTGATACGTCGTTGGTAGAGGTATTTAATACTGTCATCTCCTAACAAGTTGACTTTATATCTTGGATTTGACAGAGTGACTTGCTCCGTTTCAGCTTCTGTTATATGTCAGATGAGATAAATGCTCACCCAAAATGCATCATATGAACCAATCCACTATTAGTATTAAAACTAATTAACAAATCAAATTATTCTTAAAATTTGTCAGAACAATTTACACCATAAAGCTCTACCTACATCGCATGGTCTAATTAAAACAATTTCCCACACGTAAAACTCGCGTCCTAAACCGCGTAACACACGCAAACACACGACCACCCCTATTCTGACCCACCAACCCCCACCACACATTCCCCCACAATCGCCAAGAACCTTTCCTCCTCCTCCCCTACGTCTCACCACGCCGCATCATTCCATCTCGCGCCGTTTTAAGAAAGACATAAGTGAAACAAGAAAGAATGCAAATGAGATGAGGTAAAGAGCGCGTCTTTGCTTAATTCACGCGCTCACTCTTCCGTTTCTTTTCGTCTTGCTCCTCCTCGGACGGGCCGGGGGGGGGAGAGGTGTTTCCTCTTCCCCTTTCCTCCTCACGTCACCAAGTGAGGGTAGAGAGAGTTTTTGCCGCCACGGGCTCACATGCGCAAATGAAATCGATTAAAATGCGAGTTTGTGCTTTGAAGAAGAAGTATTAATGGCAGGGGGCGGTGATGGTCGTCGCCGCCCGAGATTTGGGGGAGGCCGGGGCTGCATCGGACGGAGCTGATAATGACAAACTCGCAGATAATTAAACTTTGTGTCGTTTAGTTTTTTGCATATCTACGGTTTTTTGTTGAGATTATACAAAGGACGAGATATTATTTTCTTTATCAAAGGTAGTTTTTTCTTGTAGACTGGCTGGGAGTTACTTCATCGGTTAGTAAGGATTGAATTTATGTAAGCACAAACTGTCTTCTGAAAAAAAATCATCATTATAATCATCTTCAGCTTATTCAATTTGTTCTAATTATACTGCAGCCTACCTCACATATTTAGATAATCCCTTTGTAATCGAACCCATTGTTATCTATTGTTGACTATGCGGGCCCAAGTTATCCCTGCTAAATTCCTAATATCATGGTCCCATCTGAGGTTTGGCCTTCTTATAGGTCTCTTAATTCCTCTTGGGTACAATGCAGTAATTTTTGTGAACCATCTGTTGTCTGTCTTTCTTGTCAGGTGTTCTGCTTATTGCCACTTGCGGGATTTAGTTCTGTCGATGATGTCTATTACCTGGGCACTCTTTAGATAAAGTATCATCCCAGATTTTAATATGATTGAGTTTCTTCCATATGAAGGTACTTCATGTATTTTCTATATACTCGTAAATAAACTCCAAAGGCTAGGTCGATGGTATCGTTGCCCTTATGATTCTTACACAATTATTTTCACAGATCATAAAATATTACATATACAGGGTGGTCCGAACTGTATTCCGGAAACTTCGGCAGCATATTCTGCAGATAAAAATAAGTAAAAAAGTTCGTATAAGTGTATGTCCTAAAGTGCTTAGATTCAGAGATACAGGGTGTAGAAGTTTAATTTTTATTTCGATTTTTTCCAAATAATTTTTGAAGTAACGTCAATATTTGAATGAAAATTGGTGTCTGGAAATTTTTTGATATGAAAAATTTGATTTTGATGTCAATATGACTCCTACTAGTAGAGGGCGCTACCTACATATTTTTAACTGGTTTGAAGAGTAATAACTTTTCGTCCGTACCCGTATAAAACTAGTGAGTAAAAAATATAAATTTACAACGTTTTCTACGTAAAAAGGGTTTCTTGGTAAAAATCGCTACGAGCAACCGTTCTCAAGATATTTAGAATGGAAACAGTCAATACATGTCATTATTGACAAAAAATAAACACGTTGAGTAGATAGTCATTTGACTGATTTTTTTTAAATTAATCATAAATTTTTCTGCGAAAAATGATGATAAAAGAGTTTCTGTTGAACTTTTGGCGCAAAAACATTTCAACCTACAAAATAATTAAAACAAATGTAGGTGGCGCCCCCTACAATTAGGAGTCATATTGACATCAAAATCGCACTTTTAATGTCAAACCACCCAGATACTAATTTTTATCGAAATATTGACGTTACTTCAGAAATTATATTGAAAAAAAAACGGAATAAAAATGAAACTTCTACACCCTGTATCTCCAAAACTAAACATTTTAGAACATACATTTATACGAACTTTTTTACTTATTTATATCTGCAGAATACGTTGCCGAAGTTTCCGGAATACAGTTTGGACCACCCTGTATATTTGAAGATTAGTTCAATGTAAATCTCATAAGTCGATCGTGTTTGCATTTTCTGTATTGTTCAGTCCTTTTACACTACTACAAAAGAAACATAAACTTCAAGAACACCATTAGAAAATCGGTGGACCGTTTTTACAGTTTAAAATCTTCGACCGACATAAATCGTTCCGCACCCCTTTAGACGCCTCCGCCAGCGTCGTCCGTCATTGCTCCCGCTTCCCCGACTTCTACCCGCGCGTAAGAAAGTCGACCCGCTCGTACGTGTACAGCGGACCGCGAGAGTAGACCTTTTTTCCCCTCTTTCGCATTTTAATTAAGCTGGGCCGCTGGGTGGGGGACGTGGGGGTGTGAGGCACTCCCCCCGCTGCGCCCAGGGGCGGATGCTAATTATTTTTTCAGCGGGCGCCCGCTTTTTAGGTTAATTAGTAATAAATTTTTAATTAATCGACGCTCGACATCGGCCTAGAGTCGAACTGGATTCGGAACGTTGATCTTGGAGAGGTGCAATCGTCGTCGTTGTCGTTGCTTTTTTCGGAAGGTTGTTTACGGTAATTTTTTCGGTGGATTTTCCGGGAAGGTTGTTATTTATTTAATTTTTTCAGGTATTGTTTATTTGGAGTGTTTTTTTTCTCTTAATTAGCTTAAAAAGAATTATCAAGTTACATAAATAAAATAAATATAATATAGGTTACGTATTTCGTGAGTTTCGGGTACATAATTTTATGTCAGATTAAAAAATAACGAAATTTCTTTACAAGAAAATGAAACAATACATATTTAATAAAATTTAAGCAATATTATTTAGTTTAGCTGGTTTAGGTCTGTGCGCTGATAGCCGTTTACAGCGCAGCGGATAAAGAATATTGTACCGTAGTTCTGCTTTCAGTCGACAGAGTGAGTGGTTGCCGGAGACAGTGTTGCCAGAACTACTGATTAATCCGTAGATTTACAGATTTTGGGTACAGAATTTAGGTAATTATTAGGTAGAGAACGTTAAAAATACGGATTTTTTTGATCATTAAACAATTTAATATTATATGATTAAACATAGAACGGCGTCAGAGTTGGCTTGAAAATAAAGATTGCTGTTATTTCATATGTAAAATATTATGGCAAATGTCAATAGTCATCATTTCCAAGGCTAACAACTAAACGACTTTTATCGATCATACGAAATTTTCAGTACCTATAAAAGATTTTTTATTTTTGTTATTTATTTTATATATATGTTTAACATGAATAAATTTTCTATACATAAACGGGGATATTTCATCTAAAGATATGTTTGTCAAATGTATTGCAGATACTACACATTTTAATATGGCAACACTGTCGCTTTCAGTTCCGCACCGACTAGCCGAATTAGAGAAAATGAGTGTTTTATGCGTTGACAACAGAACGAGTAGAGGCTTCACCTTACAGCACTTGAGCCGTAAGGGGAAATCAAATCAGCCTTCTCACAAGTTTGCCCGTTAAGTTGTGTATCTTCCCAATTCTTTTTACATTAATAGGTGCAATATATGCAATGTACATAAATAGGTGCAAAAACTTAGCTTAAGGGTTTTGATTTGATTCTTCGAGGTAGCTATCAGGCCTGATCCACTTCGAATTTTTCAGATCTATTGTGGACTTTTTCTGATCCTTATGTTACATTCTCCAGTCCTATCATTTTCAAAGCAACACAATAAAGTTTTTTTTTAAATCTTTAATTCTGAAGTTACAAACATAAAATATAAAAAAATGTAACAGGTTAAAAAAGTAATGAAACCAATTCAAAAAACTAATTTTGGGTAAATAAACAAAGCTGTGAACGTATCTGTTTGATAAAATTTTAGGCAAGGCCAACAAAAAAGTTTATTGAGTGCCTTACCACCACCATAACCAGTATTTATAAACATTTTCACTAAATTGACAAATACACGATTTTAATTTAGTATTAATATTGTTCCGGACCGTTGTGGACTCGACCTAACCTAACTATATGGCCCGCCCTCGGATGACCTTAACATCGCATTAAAGAATAGACACCGTAATGATTCATTCGAAGATTCGAGAAGAATCGAGTTCCACTGGAATGGAGTAGTACATACGAGAACAATCGAAACCTTCTCTATGCACCGAACGATTTATGGACTATTCTAGAGATCTTTAGCTGTCGGTATAAAAGCCGGCGGCTGGGGCCTAGAGAGGGCAGTTATAAATAGACGAGTGTAGTTGACGCGCTAAAATTCAAAATAAATCCTTAGTTATAAATCTTTTGTAAATAGTTCTATAAGTCTTTTATCGTTATTGTTTTTGTTAATTAGTGTTAAATAAATAGTGTTTAAATAAATTTTGCCTTTCTATCCATACAGAACTGACGAAAAATGTAACAATCTTTAAAATATGCTTTGGAGTTTTTTCTTCAATAGTATTTAATTTTTCTGAATACTCCATCGGCCACCGCGGCGCGCGACAAAATGTTTTAAGTTGTATACAAAACACATAAAATATGTGTTTAAAAATCTGCATCACCCACCACCTAAAACAGTGAACGGGAAACGTAATCGGTGCCGGAGAGTT